AAAAATACCTATTTGCCATGACAGTGGATGATTTGTGCTATGTGTATAAAGCAAGTAAGTCAAATTTATATGTGTCATTTACAGAGGTTGAATATGCGATTTGTCACCTTTATTTTTGATTTTAGTTATTTTTTTTAGATATTAACAAATTCCCGGCGCGGATGTGCGATTATATACAAGAAGAAAACACAAAAACTAGGGAAACTGTGGGAAAGGGGGTACCTGTTGGTTTGTTGGGCTGGTTCCTTGACGCCTGTTCTTCCTGTCCTGGAGAAATGTTCGCCTGTGGCGCGCCACTATTTCTTTTTTTACACTAATGTTCGCGGGATGTTCGCGGGCCCCGGGGCGGAAATATGTGTAGGCGAAAAGCGTCTCCGGAGCGCTGTTTTTTCTCAGTCGTGGGAGTTTCTTGGTATCCTCTCGGCGATCAGAACACACAAAAGGCCGTTGCCTTTTTTTCGTCCGTTCGTTCGAATTGCAGCGATGGCAGCGCCGCGGACGAAGTCGACAACAGGTGAGTTTAGAGGAAGGGATAAGGTAAATGTGTTTTCGCAAGCTTACGATAGATGGCGTTAACAGTTATTATTTCTTTAAACGCACGTTTAAATTGAATAAGGTTTTTTATTATATAAATTGTTATTTAATTATTATAATCTACAAAATAAACAGAACAATATATGAATAAAAACAAAATTAGACCCAGTTGTCATATCATGGCATACCCAGTAGCAGCTTTAAATTATTAGCAGTCACAGCTCTGGTAAATACGACAGCATTCATTAACTTTTTATCACTGAAACAAAAACAAATGTAAATCAACTTGTCACAAAAGTATCAACGGACAATTATTAACAAGAACTGAAAAAGCTATAATTATATTCTTGTTAACACTTTACAATGTGGGCACATTTATAAACGCAAACTCAAAAATCATTTATTCAGTCTAGGCTGTTACACTTGTGAAGGCCATCGGTTCGCAAAACTAAGCCGGGAGACCTTTGTGTTGTGACCTTGTACTGAAAAAACCGGCAAGAAACTTGGGCTGTTTCTCTCTCCCTGTATTATTATATTCAGTGTCGTTAAGTTGAAAAATGACTTCAGAGATACTATCATTTAGAATATAGATATCATCATCATCATCAGCCTATTAATGTCCCCACTGCTGGGGCACAGGCCTTCCCTATTGATTATGGTTAACTTTATATTTAGTATATAGGAAGCGGCATAAGATACAATATTACTGTTATGAAAAATAACTAATACCCATTTCTATGAATTACTATAATTAAGATAATCATTAACTTTATGATAGCCCTTATTCATAAGAGTATTCTTGATATGACATTTAAATTTCGTCAGTGGAAACTCAATCAGATTTTGGGGAACTTTATTAAACAATGCAGTATTATAACCCAGAAATGAACCTCTAGATTTTTTGATAACATTTAATTCTTTTCCAAACTCAACTTTAGCATCGAGTTGACGAATTGAAATGTGTAAAAATAATTGCTAATGCTTTAATATTATTGATCACAGCCAGAAAATGCTCATTGAAAGTCCGGTGACGTTTCGAAAATTACATTTATTCATTCAATTCTGAACAAAAGAGTTTCCCAAAGTTTACGAACAAAAAGTTCCTTATAAAAATGACGCTGAATTTTTTAACGCGAAGAAACTTCTGGAATCCGAAGCACTTAGTGGTGGCTATTGGGCCGGCATGCTCCATTATTGGCATCAACGAAACAATAACTTTGTTTCAACCGTTAGGAAGGCTATTATTTCTTGTTATGGACCTATTTTGTGGCCCCTACTATGGTACTGGGTAAACTTTACTCAGCTTTTTAAAAAATAAATTATTTTAATAAAAATCTATCATCCAAAACTGAAAAAAAGAAAATAAGATAAACATGAATAAAAATATTTTCTTCAATTGTTACCTACGACAATTGATATCAAATTAAAGGCTTTGATGAGCACAATCATAAAATAAACCTTATTAACACTAAACAGTTAGTCATGCGTTCCAAACGAGTTTAAGAAAAAATGTTATGCAAAGGACATTGCTCGTTCCCCATACATTGAATGCCCTAGAACGCCCAGCAATGAGAAAATGCTAGTTGTGTTCGGAATCATTCATAAACTCTAATTAGGCATTTGTTGAGATACGGACAACTTGAGGAACCGTGGCCTACTACAGAATGTATTAGATTTTGAGGTTATAATTATTATACTTAATCGTAAAAGATGTACACTTTATATATTCTGAATAGATTTAGTGTTTACCTCTATGTAAGCACTTAAATAATATGCATTAAATGAACATAAAATGCAATTAATAATAAAAATAATAAATGCTTATATTCATATTGATTAATGAGTGTTATCAGTTGGCACCTACGATACCTATACCTTACCTGTAGTAATAATAGATTTCTTTTCAAATGAAATGTTCAGTCTTTCCATTTACCTGTTTCTCTATTTTACTATCGGTAATTAGGTATGTACCTGATTATCATTATGATTTTCATAAAAATAAACAGATATTACATGGGATGGGAGTATAAACTATCTTTACATAATTTCACAAATAATCTTTTTATAAATATAATACTAGTAATAAGTATTATTAACTAAGGTTTCTCTATTTTTCTTTTGATAAATACCTATGGTCGCCTTTAATGCATTTATTAAAGTAAACAATCTTGGCACAACTTTTTAACAGAATCACCCATTTAATAATAAAATATTAACGAAGCCAATAAACTATTAAAATAAATCGTTATTATAGACTGAAACCTTTTGAATCCAGTTATCAGATGATTTTTAATGCTGTTTTTTCAATAAAAAGGAGTGCCAAGTTGGATGAATAGACTGTAGTATCTAGTAACAGAACTTTTTGTTTTTTTTTTTAAACAGATTGTCCGTTTACTATGATTAATTGCTAATATGTTAAAAAAATAATAGAAAGATAATAGTGAAGGACATTCTTTTGGGCAGGCTAGGGCCGATTTCGTCGATGTCCTTTGTCTAAACAAGTGATATTTAAGCATTTAACTGCTAGATATTTAAACCTGAAGATCCACCCGGATCTACACTCATCAAAATCAAATGTTTTGTGAATATCTAAAATGAAGCCCCAAGCGAAATTGTTTTATAAATAAACATAAACAAATAAAGTTACATTAATATATTTTTGTTTTTAACTATTTAACTGCTGGATGTTTAAATGTAAAGAAAATATTCCTAGAACAAATTACAGTCGGTCCATTATTATTTCGTATGTATTTTTTTTAAGTTACATTATTATGTATATTCCGTTGCCTCTAGTTAACCGTGGTAAGGGCTGCAAACATGGTTCGGTCGCAACAGGGGCCGCATTTCGGCGCATTAAAATCGCATTTAGGCTCAATACTTTATATACGTAACTGCAGCACTGCATAAGTCTATTCCCGATCGCCTAATGGTCCCGAGCTCTAACGGTGTTTCAAATAGTGATTTGTGCTTGAAATGGGGACACTGGCTGTTGCCAATATTTTTTAAACCGCTTCACTGGCCAGTTTTGTGCTAGTACTTCGCATATTCTATTGGGAATGACAAGGAGATACTGCTGTGAAATTTATAGAATACGTATAGCCATGAGAAGTGCCAGCGCGCATTAAACATACATACATAAATTATATTAAAGTCTTTTTTGTATAAAGTGAAACAAAGTATCCCTTCCCCACCTGATCACAAATTCAAATGTACATAATATTACGTTTTTTTAGTTGTAATAAAGTATTTATGTCTAGACATACGGCGGTTTTGTTTTATCTATTGTTAAATTTGACTATACTAGAGAAAAAAAAGCATAATCAATATGATTCACGCTACACCGTGTCGCGACCGGGCCGTGCCCCGTCCGGGGCACATTTATATCATAAATTTTTTTGCTTGAAAAGAAAGTTGCCTAACAAATTTTGAATTTAAATAAAAATAAAATGAGACCTATTTGAATTACATGCAGATTCCCTGTTGTCAAAATTTAACACATTTATTATGTATTTGACGTACCTAAACAAATATTTTTCAACCTGAGACCTCGTTATTACATTAGTTGGACAGCGACATACAATGAAATCCTGGAAAAATATATAAGTTTACTACGGGACTCCTAAAAACAGGCCTTCAGAATATACCGGCCTGGGGGTATTTTTCTGAATTCAGAATGAATATATCTTTAGGGATTTTTTGAATTCTCAAGTAAACGCGAACAAAGTCACGTAGTTGTAATATAATGTAAAAGAAATTATATAAATCAAAACCGACTTTATATTAACCGACTGAAATTGAGAAATAATAATATTTTTTTTATTTAAATATGTATATAGTTTTACTTTGTATTAAAGTAAAGAATTCCGTGTTTAAAGCAAAATTATCAAAGATTGGGATGGTCGTAGCATGTACGAATATTATTGTAAAAATTTCATGAATTCATAATGTAAACAAAAAATCTTTGTTGTTTTATAAAACGACGGTGCAAGTGAAATTTTTAAAATCTTAAAAATAAAGGCCATCCTCAGTTTAGAATCGAACCCAGGCCGCCCGCGCAGGAAGTGAGCTTTCTACTACTGAAACCCATGCCTAACCCACCGCTGGTCGTTGATAAGGTCTGAAATTTTAACAACATATTTGTTTCTTAGGTTTTCACGCACATCACTCATTAAATAAAACCAGTTTTTTACGGGTTAATGCACGAAACTACTTAAAACAATTAAAAATATAATGCGAAATGATAGATAACGAAAAAAATTGTGGCAATGAGTAATAAAAGTCTCTCTTTAAAAAAATACCAAAAAAACATTTCTCGCAGCTACAATATTGTAATCTGTAGAAGAGCAAGATTATTAGGCCGCTTCTGGCCGCGTCGGCCATGTTGCTCTATGGGACGCGTCAGCCGTGTTGCTTCATGGGACGCGTCAGTCATGTTGCTCTATGGGCAGCGTCAGCCGTGTTGATCTATGGGACGCATCAGCCGTGTTGCTCTATGGGACGCGTCAGCCATGTTGCCCTATGGGCAGCGTCAGCTATGTTGCTGTATGAGCAGCATCAGCCATGTTGCTCAATGGGACGCGTCAGCCGTGTTGCTCCATGGGACGCGTCAGCCATGTTGCTCTATGGGCAGCGTCAGCCGTGTTGCTCTATATGACGCATCAGCCGTGTTGCTCTATGGGACGCGTCAGCCATTTTGTTCTATGGGCAACGTCAGCCATGTTGCTCTATGGGACGCGTCAGCCATGTTGCTCTATGAGACGCGTCAGCCGTGTCACACTATGAGACGCGTCAGCCGTGTTGCTCTATGGGACGCGTCAGCCGTGTTGCTCTATGGGCAGCGTCAGCCGTGTGGCTCTATGGGACGCATCAGCCGTGTTGCTCTATGGGCCGCGTCGGCCGTGTTACTCTATGGGACGCATCAGCCGTGTTGCTCTATGGGCAGCGTCAGCCGTGTTGCTCTATGGGACGCATCAGCCGTGTTGCTCTATGGGCCGCGTCAGCCGTGTTGCTCTATGGGACGCGTCAGCCATGTTGCTCTATGGGCAGCGTCAGCAGTGTTGCTCTATGGGACGCATCCGCCGTGTTGCTCTATGGGACGCGTCAGCCGTGTTGTTATATAGGCAGCGTCAGCCGTGTTACTCAATGGGACGCGTCAGTCGTATTGCTCTATGGGCTGCGTCGGCTGTGTTGCTCTATGAGCAGCGTCAGTCATGTTGCTCTATGGGACGCGTCAGCTCCGTTGCTCTATGGGCCGCGTCGGCCGTGTTGCTCTATGGGACGCGTCAGCCGTGTTGCTCTATGGGCCGCGTCGGCCGTGTTGCTTTAGGGCAGCGTATACATCTTCTAACACATGAACAACAATTGAACTATTTCCAAATATCTTATAACTATAGCCATATCTACTTTTCTCACATGAGGTAAAGTTGCTTATGGCATGGGAACTCTGCGATAAAACGATATGACTTCATCGAGTTTGGAATCGTTTGTCATGGGAACACTTTGGTAAAACGGCACAATTTTTATCTATTTGAAGGCGCATAATAACAATGTTTTAATTATATTATGATCTACAATTTTTTTATGTCGGGGTCCTAGTAAAAGGATTCCATTAGCATCCTTTCGGCATTGAAAGCTAAAGAGTCGGTTTTATGTTTGTTGAAAAAAATCGTAGAAGCCCCACTGAAAATGGAAATGTGGCTTAAGATTAGGCCCATGAATAATGCACGGTGTATAAACGAGAAATCAAAGGTTCCTTATGAATATCTTAATTCATCGTTTCTCTGTAAACACAGCGAGAAGGGGAAGTAACAGGGAATTCATCTTAACTCGCTTAAGTAGGAAATTCTTTTTCAATTCCTTGCGTAGATCGATGTTCCTATGTCGAGGTAACCTGTTTGCAAACAGGCATTTTCAAAGGTTTATATGTGTCCATATATACTTGTACCATGTATTATATGGTGTTGTACATGCGTATATGGATACATGTATACCTTTGAAAATGCCTGCTTGCAAACAGGTTACCTCGACATAGAAACATCGATCTACACAAGGAATTGAAAAATAATTTCCTACTTAAGCGAGTTAAGATGAATTACCTAGTATCGTACTAACTATATTTATGTTAATATAAGCAGCACAGCTTTGGTAGAGTAAATTTTGGAAGAGTGGATTTACTAGCAATGCGAGCATGTTACTCTAACAATAATTGTTACTTTTCAATAACCGCGTTGACAATATTGTAGCAAAATTGTATATTTAATGTTAGGTTTCATCATGCATGTTGGTAAGAAATTATGTATGTATATGTATACTATGCGAACTGCGCTACAGCAGTGCTGGGACTGTGATACAATCAGTGCTGTGATGCAGTTTCAGGCTAAAATTGTATCGAACTCTGCATTCAGAGAATACCACGGATTAAGGCTCCCCGAGAGTTTGAAGATATAATTCGTATTAATCCTTTCCGAAATTGCCTTTAAAAACAAAGACACTAAGGCCGCGTTGTTATATTTGACTATAGTTAAAATAGAGAAATAATAACCATTTGTCAAAATTTGACAAAGACGCTATAATTTTGACGTGGCATAAACTTTGTTTCAAACAACGTGGCCTTAGGGGGTCGTCTTTTAATCAAGTGATGTTAAACCCCCACCACCTGGCGTTATGTGGCGAGGTTTTAAACTGACCTAGCCCGCACAACCACAATCGCGCGTATTTAAAAACGTAAGTAAGTTTTGAAGTATATAAGATTTTTTAAAATATTATCGTTTCTTATACCGTCAGTACAAAGAAGTGTGTTACGTGCAAATATTAAATCTGGTGCTCCTTAAAATCAGTTCCTTAATCGCATCACACGCCGCATAGAGAAATTTCATCCCCACTATCTGGGCGCTTGGTATTTTAGAGAACAATGCGTTACGCACGTTCTTTCCTACCAGTGAGATCTGGAAAGGTCTTCCCTCAGTGGTTTTTCCTCTTAGACATGACAATCCTCTATGATATGACAATCTTCGAAATGCGGTGAAGCCTTTACCTTCTGAGCCTGCAACGCATGAGTGGTGTCTTTAGTGCTGCAAGTTTTCTTTTTTTTTTAAATGTATACTGTTGGTATGTAAAGGTCATATACAGATGACCTTTACAGCGTAAACGGGTTTGGGGACGGCGATATGCTAAGGGGACCTCAAGCCGAAAATTGACGAGTGCCTCTATAGGTATTTCAGGTGGATGGCATCTCCCCACGGAAGGAGTCTCCTCTCCGTCCGGAGCCTCTAGACCACTCGAATCTGAGGGAGTAAGTGGTGCTGTAAGTGTTCATCAGGGCGATAGTGATCACTTACCATCAGGTCGTCAAGTGTTCATCAGGGTGGTAGTGATCACTTACCATCAGGTCCATGCCAGTTCGTTTGCTTGCTAAAACATAGAAAAATGCACAAGTAAACATAAAAAACTAAATATATGTATTTTATTTATAATCACCCTAATAATTTTATCATCATTATGCAAATATGTGAAACTATTTCGCATCACCTTTGATGCACATTTTGCACACGAAGCGGCGGCGAAGTTTGAAATTTTACATTAAAAAAGTTTTGAAAAGGAGTGCGGAATGTTGTATTCCGCACTCCTTTTCCAAACTTTTATAATGCACCTGAGGTTTTGTATTTATTAGATAATTATATTATATGAAAATAGATCCCTATTTCTTTTGGTCTCGCCATAATTTGAGAACGAGTTTACTGAGTTCATCTGTATTTTTTAAAGTTTTTTAATACTTTAAAGAATGTGCTTAATTTCTTCTATTTACGTTTTTCTTTTGTTTCTAGATGTGGGAGATTAAAATTGAAATGAAATGAAATGAAAAGTCATTTATTCAGTCTAGGCTGTTACAAGCACTTGTGAAAGTCAAGAAGCTACACTATCGGTTCGCAAAACTACGGCGGGAGACCTTGTACTGAGAAGAACCGGCAAGAAACTCAGCAAGGGCTGCTTTTATCTCCCTGTATTGATATATACAGAGTTGAAAAATGACTTCAGACATACTTCTGAAGTCACCTTCCATTACATTATTTAGGGTATAGATATATAGTTACAACAAAGGACAATGTTAAAATTGGCCTAAGAACCAACAGCAATTTGGCATTTATGATAATTCTTAGTATATTTTTTGCGATAATTATCAGTATTTAGATTGTGACGGACACTTCCAGTTAAGTAAGCTAAATTAAAAAGTTAATAAATAATCTGAGACAATAAATACCATTTTATGTGTATAATCTATGACAGCGCTGCAAACAAAAAACACTTTCTTCCTAATGCCGGGCACTTCACTTGGCTATTCGTATTTGCTATTTAAAAACATGACATCATTCTGTCCTTTTCATACCTTATTAAGCATGACAAGGACAAACTGTTGTCAAGTGAAGGGCCGGCATAAACTTGATACTCTGTGGTTGTGGTGCAGGCAGTTTGCAGTCGTAGTAATCTGTGGCATTCGTGCATTCTCGTCAGAGTACTTTTTATAAACGGAGAATTCTCGTTCGAATTACCTGTTGTGTGTTTATTTGCGATTGTTTTTCCTTTAATTTAACTATTACTATTTCGGCTATCTAATATGCCATCGATGTTATCAAAGAGCAGAAACCTTCTTACCAAGTGCTAGTGAACCTGTGCCATAACATCCTGAGAGAATCATACTGCCAAATTATTCAAGAGCACCTGATACACATTCACACTGCATATTAACACAATATACATGTGTTAAACAAATAAATACAATATGATACAATTATGTGGAAAAAAGGTCAGTGAATAATAAGAAGCAAAACCATTATATTGTTATTATTTTATTCATGATTCCTACCTAACCAAGTTCTTCCTAATAGTTATTCTTTAAAATCGCACCGAATAAAACGAATTAGTTGTAATATTAATTTACTTCATACTAAGTTCATAGGTTGACCTATGTTTCATTGAATATTAAACATAACCTCAAAAAAAATTTAGTTTTCCTAATAATTTAAGTTCTCAGAAGTGTCCGTCAATAATCTTTGTTTTTACAGTTATTTACGTGCGATTTCGAACCTAGAAAATAATATTACATGATTGTTGGTTCTTAGGCTAACTATGTATGGACGCAGAACAATGTCCTTTTATATTTAGTATAAATAGGAAGCGGCATTAGATAGGTACCATACTACTGTTACAAAACTGACTCATACCCATCAAATAAGAAATTACAAGAAACACTATGTCCATGCATTACGATCATTTAGATAATCATTAACTTTATAATAGCCCTTATTCATAAGAGTATTCTTAATCTGAGATTTAAATTTGGTTAGTGGAAGCTCAATCAGATCTTGGGGAAACTTTGTTAAACAAGGCAATACTACATCCCAGAAATGAACCTCTTGATTTTTGGAGTCTGAAACATGGAATTATTGAGAGGACTACTTTCTGATGAGATTAAAAATAGGTACTAATATGCAGTCGCATGTAAAATCTAGTTTAACACGTCGCTAGCGTTAGGTAGGAGGATATGTACACCGACGATACGGCCCGTCAAAGGAAGCTGTTTTGAGAACGAAACTCTTTGTTGTATCTCAATCCGATGTTGCGAAACAAATCTAGTTATATCGGGAGACCCTCGTGAAACAAATATAATTTCTTTTCTGAGGTTTTGTGTTTGTTTTATACTTCTCGTGATTGTGAAGAAAGATTTGATCCTTTTATACACGATGTCAACTACAGCGAAGCAGAAAATGGGGTTCCATTTTAGGGCAATAAATTCTGTAATCGATGTTTGGCAAAGGTGCGGAAATCATCATCATCAGCCTATTAATGTCCCCACTGCTGGGGCACAGACCTTCCCTATTGATGGAATAGGGAGATTGGGCCATGACCCACCACGCGGGCGCAATGCAGATTGGTGAGTGCTAACGACTGCAGATGCAGCGGGGACCAACGGCTTAACGTGCCTTCCGAAGCACGGAGGAGCTCAAGATAGTAACTAGTACTATTTTTGGTCACCCATCTAATGACCGACCACTGCGCAAGTTGATTAACTTTGCGATCGCTGAGAAAAATATTAAGGTTAGGTTCATTTATTTTATATATGTTC